TCATACCTGGTTAACGGTATGTGTCCTTAATATATACCGCAAATAACTGTAAATTTACTTTCCCAGAATTCCCTGTATGGAACATCACTTTTTTTTACATTTTGTTGACATTACTATGGATCTTTTTAGTTGTTTCCTCATCAGTTATGTACATTAGAAATTTATGTTACATCTAATGTTGATAAACAATGTTTATTTCATGACTTTTATTTTATGTGTGTTACCATACTGGTGTTTAGTAGCTGTGTGAATGACACTGAGCACCTACTATATATTAATACACATATAATTTCTGCTTGTGGGAAATTTGAATGTGATAAGCATTGGTTCATTATGTTACTTCCTCATCACCTCCTGCATATGGGTGTGCTTACGTGTCTCGCTGTGTAACAAAAGATTTGTAGATGTTGGGCATTCAAAATACAGACATATTACCTCGATAAATTGATGAAATACGGTAGTTTACCGTGAAAATGAGAAATTACTTTTACGGATTGTACCGTGTTTTTATCAGTAAAGTACTGGCAACCACAGCTGCCGTTTTTTTACCGTAAATTTTACAGATTTATTTTGTACAGTCTATTGCATAAGAAACCAGTAATGGAAATGTCAAATTTCAAAAAAAAAAAATAATAATCCCTTAAGCCGCCTTTCCACTGCACACGACAGACACGACTGTCGGTATATGCCCCCTTGTGGTAGTCGCAAATAAATTCAGTTTTGTCGTACAACATTGGAGAGAAGCTGTTCTCGCAGTGTCTGAAATAAAGTAGTGCAAAAGCAGGAGAGTTTATTCTCTGTGAGTTCACCATAGTTGAGTGAATGAATACTAGAAACTCATAGACAGCTAAAAAAAATATTGAAGGGATGTGGAGACAACATAAAAAGCACTGAAATACATCACTTCTGGTCAGCCAGCCGTATACGGTTTAGTCGCAGGAGTTCAAATATTTCAACGGATCCGCAGCTCAATTCGAATCCGAGTTTTCAGCATACGAGATGATCGGAACTCCACGCAACTCCCGGACTACTCTCTATTGGAAATGAATGACTTCAGGTCTGTCATTTGTCATTTGTCGAGTACAGTGAAAAGGAGGCTATAAGGTCAGTGCTGACCGGAAGTTATCTATGTTTATTTCAGTGTGCTGATGTGCTTCTAACTGGAACTGAATATTGAGTAGAGGCCGGGGGTTTCTTCTGAATGGCAGATTATATAAAATATATACTACTTGACAGTTGTAAGAGCAAAAAATAATAACTTGACTTCTAGTTAATCATTTAGAAAAGTGGCAGAAGGTCGATTTTTCTGATAAATTATCTGCTGAACTTCATCCCAAACATCACAAATACTGCAGAAGACCTATTGGAACCCGCATGGAGCCAAAATTCTCACAGAAATCAGTGAAGTTTAGTGAAGAAAAAAGCATTGTTTGGGGTTACATTCAGTATGGGGGCGTGTGAGAGATCTGCAGAGTGGATGGCAACATCAACAGCCTGAGGTATCAAGACATTTGTGCTGCTGATTACATTACAAACCACACAAGAGGGCAAATTCTTTAGCAGGATAGCGCTCCTCATACTTCAACCTCCACATCAAAATTCCTGAAAGCAAAGAAGGTCAAGATACTCCGGGATTGGCCAGCCCAGCCACCAGACATGAACATGATTGAGCATGTCTGGGGTACGATGAAGGAGGGGGCATTGAAGATGAATCTAGATAATCTTGATGAACTCTGGGAGTCCTGCAAGAACGCTTTCTTTGCTATTCCAGATAACTTTTAAGTTATTTAAGTCATTGCAGAGATGTACTGATGCAGTTGGCCAAGCTCATAGTGTAGACGATTGTTTTATAGTCGTGCATGTGTATCCTCCAGTCACCGATGCATCAGGCAATATGAACAGACACAGCAGCAACTGCACACTATCCTCAAAAACAGCGATCTGATGTCTATGAAAATCATGCAGTGTGAACTCAGCCTAAGTCTATATCACCCAACCCTACTGTCCATCCCCTAATCAACACTTGCAGGATTTCAAGCACCAGCAGCCATTTGCACCTTTGAGCGCTAGATCCTGCAATGCTCTGAAACAATCTCAGGCTCACAGGCTCAGCGTCGCCCTCTCGCTCTCCCACACACAAAGCTCCGAACATTGGCTCGGTCTCTGCACCGCTTCCTACACGCATGCACACATTCGCATGGGCCCGGAGGACTCTCTTCTGAGCAGTTCCAGGTTGTGTGTCCTGGGTTTGTGCCAGATGGAGGCCGAGACCGAGCGTAGGATTCATTAGCTTGTTCCAGAGCTTTTTGTTTAACACGTCTCTTTCTCTCCTCCAGATATCTAACTCGAGTTGAAATAAATCACCAGTTGGACTGCAATGTTCTCTCACTTTTGCTGTTATTATGTCACACGTTTGCTTTCTGATGGTGAGCGTTCAGACTGGAATAGTTCTCTCGGGGGAATTGAAGCATCAAAACAATGCGTTTAATACAGATTTATGTCTAAGCAAACAATAAATGACCATCATGCTTTTTCACCCTTCTTTTACAGAAGACAGACTAAAAGGCCATTCAGTTTAACAGTAGTTTCTATATATAACAGCACACAAAGGCCTCTTCACCCTTCACCCTTGTGTACTACTCCGCCCACATACACTCAGCAACAAGCAGAGGACGATCTACAGTTTGACACATACTACTGCTGTTAGACAACATAAAGTACTTTTGAGGCTTTTTTTTAGTCGAGGATTTAGTTGTTTATATTGCAACTATGCTGTTTATTTGTTAGAATAGTGCCTATTTTAAAGTAACTACAATTTCTAAGAAAGAGGGTTGACGTTTTCTAACCACAAAATGGCGACAGAGCCGCATAATAAGCCCTTACGCTTAAAAGATCATAACAGTCTGATTTCTAACTACAGCTGATCAAATCATTATTAATCTGGTGGGCATACCTGCCAACACTCCCGTTATTCCCAGAAGTCTCCCATATTTCATACCAATCTCCCACAACCATCTCGTTTTGTTATTTCTCCCAGAAAACTCCCATAATTTCAGTCTGGTAGTGATTGCGTTGCTTTTTAGGGTTAATTATTGTGATCTCCTGATTGCAACAGAGAAATACTGTAGACTGTAACACTGTAAGAAGATATCTCTGTAGATGGATGGCATTTTATGTCACGTTCAGCCTTATGATTTTAAAGTGTGAGCAAAATCAGCTGTTTTGTCATAACTTTAGAGATTACCCTATAGAGAATCATTCAAATACTAGCTCTAAAGTGGCGTTGGTGAATTAGTAAAAGCTTCAGCTGTTTTGAATGAATGGCAGAAGAAAGTAGTTCCTAATAAAAAAGGGTTTTTAGACTCTCCATGTTTGATTTTATTAAATATATACACGATTGTGCCGTCGAACTGTTGCAGTGCGATATGGCTGTATGTCAGCACTGGTGGGACGCTAAAGGCACGCCTCCCACCAGAGCTGATGTACAGCCATATCACACTGCTTCTCGTGTAATATTGCTCATATATATATATGCACGTTTACATGCACACAAGAGAGAGTGACAGTAGTAAAAACAAACGCTGAATCAAACTTTTTAAAATCCTGAATCAATATTGGAGTTACTTTTGCATGGTTGAGGAAGGATGACTCCATGGCTGAAGTATTTCTTATAGACAGGTAATGTTATGTTTTAAAACAATTTTAGTCATGCAAAGCTTATGTGGATGTAGTTGCGTTATGATTGGGTTATATGCACAGAAGTGTTGTTCAGCCACTGAAATCTCACGACGAAAGCTTCATATGAGTTTTTTCAAATTTCCTAAGGGACCTTTTACAGCATCAATAATGTTGATTTTTATTTAGATAACAACAAAACATCAGTAAATAGCGCTATTCTGCCTATCCTGCTTTACTGAGCTGAAGCTGGTTTTATATTCACATTGATTCATTTTTAAACGATGACAACCGGTGACATGCTCCCTATATTGTTTACCATGCTATTTTTAATATTCAGTCTGAATTAGCATGCAAGTATGGCTGATTAATAAGTGTAATTACTGCACCCCACTGGCCAAGCACTAAGCACACAGTAGTGGCTTTAGGACAACGTGCAAGAGAAAGCGAGACCAGCGATCCTTGCATGCATAAAATATTGCACATTATGATAAGTTTTGCTTGCTACACAAATGAAAATGTGCTACATATAATACAGTTTTTCGTTCTGAACTGTAGTGTTATAAAGTACTATAAAGTTTTCTAACTGGCAATGACATGATCCAGTGGGTTGACTACCGTCATCTTCAAGGTTGGTGTTCATGATATCAGGAGGTGTGGCTTTGGACAGAGGGAAAGGGACTGTTTTTAAAGCTATTATGCTAATAAATAGCATTTTGGCAAATCACCTACTGCACTTTTAACTTCCATTTAATTAATGATAATAAACAAGAATAATGCTCTTATGTCAATTCGTAATATTAGAAATATAATAAAACAGGTCTTAATGTATAATTGAAAGCAAAATAAACTCTCTGACTGGTGTTTACTGGCATAACAGCGAGACAAATTGTCAATCACATTATACTGACCAATAGCAAACCACAACCATCTAAGCATCAAATCAACTCCAAACAGACAAAAATCAAGCCTTGAATTTTCTTTTGCTCCAAAACCTTTTCACTTGAATATACATTGCAATGAAAATCCCATTTCACGCTGACTTCTATTTAGCAAGTATGCATTAAAGCAGGGGTGTCTAAACTCAGTCCTGGAGGGCTGGTGTCCTGCTGACTGTAGCTCCAATGTGCATCAACACACCTGCCAGGAAGTTTCTAGTATATCTTGTAAGAGCTTGATTAGCTGTTTGAGATGTGTTTGATTGGGGTTGGAGCTAAACTCTCCAGGACACGGGCCCTCCAGGACTTAGTTTGGATATCCCTGCATCAAAGTATTACATACCGTATACAACATAAAGCTCTGAATGAACACAGTGATCTGCTTACCTCAGTGAGGTGAGGGTTGGGGTTGAATCCGCATTGGTTGCACACCATGGAGCGGCACTGTGTGCATTTATTGCAGTTTGGCTGGCCGTCTGTGGTGCCCGTCAAATCTGCAGTCTTGCACACTGGACAGAGCTTGCTGCTGGGCATGGGTGCAATCTGGGGTAGAGAATAGGGGGATGTGGGAGCGCTGCTTCCGGGAGAGACTGGCCCGCCTTTGCTGCCGCCCACATCCACCTGAAGGTTCTTCCGTGCGGCTTGACTCTGACTGGGACCCTGAGGATGTGTTGGGGCTCCAGGGCCGGGTCCCACACCGGGTGGACCTCCAGGTTTGGGTCCCATGCTAGGGTCTGTCTGATTCGGTTTGCCTTGGATACTGTGGGAAGGGAGAAAAAGACATTGGGATCTAGCATGTGGCGCACTTCATTGGTAAGACTGTATTCATTTGAATGAACCAGTGGGAGGGATGAATGTGTGAATTGCATTTGTACATCTCTCTACTAAGAGACATAGCTACATAATGAATGTTGCTTTACAGTAGCAAATCTACCCAATACAACTCTCACTGGACTGTGTTAACCAGTTTTAAGATGCTTGTGCGTGTGTGTGTGTTTGTGTGTGTGTTCCTTAATCACCAAAGCGGTAAACAGAAAATTTATATTCAAAGTCTCAATGAAAACAATTACTTGACAAAGCCCCACAAAAAATCATTAATAGCCAAAGGCATCACTTAATCAACAAAGACATAAACACAATTGATGGGCAAAGACTCAAAATGACATTATGAACTCAACTCATTATTAATCCAATCCCCTAACAGACAATTATTTGCCAATGACTCAAAGAACACAATTAATGGCCAAATCCCTTAACAGACAATTAATTGCCAAAAACAACAACTAATCCACAAATTCCTAAAAAGAAAATTAATCGCCAAAGACTCACAGAAGACAATCAATCTCTAAAGACTCAAAGACAAAAATTAATCAGCAAAGACTTAAAGACAATCAATTGCCAAAGACTCAGACAACAGTTAATCGCCAAAGACTCAAAGACAACAATTAATCAAAGAATCAAACAATTAATCGACAAAGACTCAAACATGACAATTAATCGTGAAAGACTCAGTCGACAAATAATCGTAAAAAACTCAGACAAAAATTAATTACCAAAGACGACAATTAAATCACTAAAGACTCAAAGACGACAATTAATCGTGAAATACTCAAAGACAACAATTAATCGCCAAAGACTCAAAGACAACTATTAATCGCCAAAGACTCAAAGACAACAATTAATCGCCAAAGACTCAAAAACAACAATTAATCGCTAGATTCGAGGATGACACTTAATTGTGAAGGACTCAAAGACAAGAATTAATCACCAAAGACGACTATTAATATCCAAAGACTCAAAGACGAGAATTAATCACCAAAGACACAAAGACAACAATTAATCGCCAAAGACTCAAAGACAACAATTAATCGCTAGATTCGAGGATGACAATTAATTGTGAAGGACTCAAAGACAAGTATTAATCACCAAAGACGACTATTAATATCCAAAGACTCAAAGACAAGAATTAATCACCAAAGACTCAAAGACGACAATTAATCGCCAAAGACTCAAAGACAACAATTAATCGACAAATTCCTAAACAGACAATTAATCTCCAAAAACCCAAAGAAAACACTTGATTGGCAAGCCACAAAACAGACAATGACATTTTCAGAGACTCAAATAAGAGAATTAATCACCAAATCCCTAACCAAACAATTAATCACAAAAGACTTAAAAACACAATTAATCGTCAAAGCGTCAAAATAGATATAATAACAAATAACCATAGTCTCAATTGTTCCTTAAACAATTCATTGTTAGCCAAATGCAATGCTGTGACAGGCCTAATGTTGTGTGAGTGAAAGCAGAGAGGGTGAAAACACTGATAGCTAAACACTGTTGAATCTGTCTGCTCAGGGGAATCACAGGAGGAGGTTTAAAGCGCTTTAAGCCGCAGTCATTTGAATGGAAATAGAAAGATAAATCAATACAGCAGAGCAAATTCTGGGGGTGGAAACAGATGTATTGACACTGGCTCTCCTAATGAATGGGAAAATGTTCTCTGTGGTCAGAAGAAGAGGCGAAAGGAGAATCCACCTCACATTCACTCTGAATGTTTGTCTGAAATGCTTGTTCATGAACTCTGACACAGAACAGAAGCTGCTTAGAGGCAAAGTGACTAAATAATGAATATTATAAATGGATTGGACGAGCCAATAAACAAACAAATATGGTTTATGAATAAATTATTAGTGGTGCCTAGTGTTACTGTTATTGCTCTGTCTTTGTCAAAGATTTTCAAAATCATTCACCCTTAATAAATAAACAAAATAAAATGAATTAGTGGTAAACAACATTTACATTTCAATAAATTTTTTAATGCAAAAGAAGGTTATGCACATACTAGAATCCTAGTAATAAAACAAATTAAATTAAATTAAATTAAAAAATGTAATTAAAAAAAAATTAAATATAAATAAAAAACAATGTTAGCCAACAAAATTTAAATTTAAATTCTATTTTAAATCGAAAAACTCTATGCACATACTAAAATCTTAGTGATGAAATAAAATAAAAAGTTGGTTCATTATGCTGTGGCAACCCCAGATTAATAAAGAGATTAAGCCGAAATAAAAAAAATGAATGAATGAATGAAGAATTAAAAATAAAATTAGTGGTAGACAACAAAATTGTAATTATATATTTCTTTTATGCAAACAATGCTATGCACATAGTGGAATCCTAGAAATAAAATAAAGTAAAAAAATAAAATAAAATAAAAAAATAGTTGTAGACAACAAAATGAAAATATTCTTTTAAATGCAAGAATGGCAATGCATATACTAAAATCATTGTAATAAAATAAAATAGTGGTAGACAACAAAATCTAAATTAAAATTACTTTTTGAAAGCAAAAATGTCTATACACATACTAGAATCCTAGTAATAAAATAAAATTATAAATAATGGTAGATAACAAAATGAAAATTATTCTTTTAATTGCAAGAATGGCTATGTACATACTAAAATCCTGGTAATAAAATAGTGGTAGACAACAACATTTACATTGAAATATTTTTAAATGCAAAAAAGACTATCCACATAGTAAAATCCTAGTGATAAAAAAATGAATAAATAAAATAATGATAGACAACTAGATTACAAATTATTATTTAAATGCAAAACGGGCTATGCACATTAAAAATCCTAGTAATAAAAAACAATGAAATAAAATAATTGTAGACAACTAAATTAACTTAAATTATTTTTTGAATGCAAAAAAGGCTATGCACATACTGGAATTCTAGTAATAAAATAAAACAACAAAACAAAACAAAATACAAAACAAAACAAAATAAAAAATACGTGGTAGACAGCAAAATTAAAATTATTCTTTTAAATGCAAGAATGGTTATGTGCATACTAAAATCCTAGTAATAAGACAAAATAGTGGTACACAACAAAATTAATTAAAATGCATTTTTAAATGCGGGAAAAAAAGGCTTTGCACAGACTACAATCCTAGTAATAAAATAAAATAAAAGTTGTCAATAAAATTTAAAGTTAATAACATTTTTAAATGCAAAATAGCCTAAAATATAGGCACATATTAGAATCCTAGTAATGAAATAAAATAAACATAATAAAATAATAAATAAAATATTGGTAGAGAACAAAATGTTTTTATTATTAATTGAATCTAATTTAAATTAAATGGAAAAAAAGGCTAGTAATAATAAAAGATGCAGTTTTAAATGTAAAATAAAAGTAAACAAAAAAATTCTATAATTTTTTGAATGCAAAAAAAGACTACTACACATACTACAATCCTAGTAATAAAATAAAAAAATAATAAAACCAAATATAATAAACATAAAATTAAGTAAAACAAAACAGTCAGTTTAATAGATATTTCACAGGATTTAATAGAGTTAAAAATAAAAAATAAAAACAATTTTGTTATATATGCAATTAGAGATTTTCAAAGCCACTAAATGTTAAGGACTACTACAATAAAATCATTGTACATTATTTATTAGTAGTAAAAGTTGTAGTTTTATAATAACAAAAAAATAAATAAATCAATTGACACATACAAAAAAAATAATAAAATGTTTACTATTTAAAACATCCATTTATGTTAGAAACTAAAACTAATTTTTTTTTACAAATGTGGAAGATCAATATTTTAAAAAATCTGAGAAATATTCCGGAAAAAGCAAACAAAACATCTGAATGACATGATGTGGAAACTGAGCGTGAAGGAGCCTCACAGGTGAATGAACACTTCATTCAGGAAATCCTTTCAGCGTGAGCATTAATGGAGCTGCAAACACAAGCCCTCATTCCAGCACAAGAAATCTGAAAAATCTGTCATGCTACAAATCTGTTTATGAGCACTTTTCTTTTAAAACCGTAAAGGCAGAAGAGCTGTAAGCACGCTTCAGCGTTTAATCAATGTTCTCTAATGAGCTATTTATTGTGGATTGGCTCAAAAGATCTGCTTTTTAAACTGGGATCAATAAACGTTATGTAAAGCCCAGAGCTGACCTCATCAAAAAGCCTTTATAAGACAATATCATCACTAAAGAAAGACAAGCTGAACGTGTGTCCTGTTCAGAGATGTTTTAAAATGCTGTTCATGATGCTGAATGTGACTCATTAAGAAACTTTTTATTGATGCATAAATGTTTTATGTTTTATTCATGATTACATTTACATATGAATGATGTGATGTGGTTTGTTTCACTTAGCTGTCACTGTGTAGATTTTCATTGCCGCATTTATTAGAATATTCGGTGAAAACTAGCAGTGGTCTGAACTCGCAGTATGACACATATTAAAAATAATGTGCTTAGGGTGTTATTTGTTTTCAGGATTTCTACAAGTCAAATTTAAGACTTTAAGACCCTTTTAAGACCATCATGAATTAAATTTTATACTTATACAAAGTTCAACAATATTTTTTTTTTATTTACCGTTTATTTGTTTATCTACTTTTTTAATTATTCAGCTTGCCACAAAAGCAAAAAAAAATCTAACTTGGTTATTTCTTAGCCACAGTGTCAAAACAAGAAAACTCTAGTCGTATATACTTTTATTCCAACATAATGTTTCTTTTTTTTAAATGACAAGTTTAAAATTGTTAAAAATATATTTCTTATGGACACAATTACATGATCAAAAAATATATATTTGTCAGCTATTTGTCTGAATGGACTGAATAACTCCTAATAAACATAATTCTTTTCCATTATAAAACCTTGCCAGTTTCACGTCTATTCATACTATTTCCATTGCGCCTTCAGTAATTAT